TCGACGAAAATATTGAACCATCGAAAATTTAATATAAATATTGAAAGTATGGCACAGGCGTACTATAAATAATTGTTAACCTTATTAGACCCTTTAATATCTATACTGTCCTTTTAAACAAACTCACAACAAACTTCCCATAATTGTCAGTAATTTCAGTATTAAATCTCTTATCCCTAAACTCATTAAAATTATCATTATCTATATTTAGTAATAAATTGTACATCAAATAACTGAATTATTTAATTACTTTATAAATATTAGTGTCATATCATCAATTAGGTACATAAATGGCATATGCTGTACTATATTAAATTTAAAAAACTTGTAAGAGCATTAATTTGCTGAAACATTTTAAATTAAATAAAAAATTAAAAACAAACAAACAAATAGGTAGTGGCCACACTATGCGTTTTATCGGTTGCTGATAATTCGGAACCGATCGGTAAATTACCGCAACATCAATAAATAACATATAAACCGCATTATCGGGGCCGGCCACACTGATCGATTCGGCAAACCGATTTAAAACTCGTCGGGACAAACCGCAATATGTTGCGACTTGGCATTGCATATGTGTTTCAAAACGCTTTATTTCGTATTGTGCCGTCCACACTTGCAGATTATCGGTTGCGGTTTACTAATACACATTTCGTCGCAATCAAATCATTTAAAATATTATATATAAATATGTAAGGTTTTTTATTATTCTATATTAGTTTATATAACAATATAATTATCATGAAAAGTCTACAATCTGATTATTATGATAGATCTATCTTCAGCAGCATATACTAATAGTATAATAATAAACCAGCTAAATTTCGTTGAAATCAAATATAATATCACAGTAGTCTAATATTTCCAAGAACATATTATTTTGAATTAAAATATTTTTCGCGCTTTTTAAATCGGCAACCGATAAAATGCCGAATGAAATAAAATAAAACGTTCAAATAGTATTAAATCCCACCATAAAATTGTTCTTGTGTGTGTTATATTAAAATAATACGTAATAAATAATTATCGAAGAATGTTCAAATAATTTAAGTTACTTGTTGTTTCAGTAAAAACAAAATCACAAAAATTGTACCCATGCTTGCTATTAAAAGTAAAGTAGGCTTGATCCGTGAGGCTTCGGACCTGAGTTGTTGTGTTACCGTTCAATATTAGATATTTACTTTAGATGTTTGATAATACCGACGAAAATGAAGCGCCATAATTGTATAATTTCAGTTCACTAAAACCTACATTAAACCCACGCGTGAAAGGACAGTGAAATTAAAGTAACTGCACCAGGCCCCGCGCTCGAATGCAGGCTAGGTATTGCAATAGATTTGGTTGAAATATTATCTTTGCAGTACCGCAACTACAAAATAGGAGGCCCGTGTGTGGTAATAATATTGGGCCCCTACCTAGGATTTATTTTTGTTGTACGTCTTATTTATAAGTATACATTTTTTTAGGTTTTAAAACACGTTTCACATCAGTTAGAGTATGATATATGTATATATTCGTATATATATATATATATATATATATATATCAAATTAAATACATACAACTGTTGTATAATATACTTCACTACATATTAATGTAGTAAATTAATTAAGTAGTTTAGGTAGGTATTTTGTATGCCTACTCAAATACTCAATGAACTCATTGTCAAATAAATATATTACTCTAAAATATTATAACAATTAACCTGTATTTTAAAAAAAGTTTTTTTTTATTATAAAATAATAATATAATATTATTAAATATGTGTGTTTGTAAAGTGTAGTTTATTTTAGGCTTTGATTAGGCCCCCCCCCCAAATGTATGTAAGCCTTGGGGCCCGCGTGCGTGGCACACTGCACACCCAGTTTTTGCGGCACTGTATCTTTGACGAAATAATTAATAGATTTTCAGTAAAAAAAAAAAAAAAAAATGTTTTGAACAATTATTTTAAATATTTTGTATTTGTAAACTTGAATTTTACTAAGGTTTGGTTATTAATTTTTATAAATGATTAAATAAAAATTAATAAGTCACTTATTATTTTTATATTACATTTTTTAATTCAATGTGTGCAATAAAATGTACATATATGTATATTATAAAAATACATAATTCCTTGAAGAGAAGCGGCAATCAAATGGCTCACTGACCAACTTCCTTCAAATTTAATACAAAACAACGGTAAAAAAAAAATTTGTACTTGTCCCCGCAAATTGTTCCGTCAATACTGAACCTACAGTTATAACAAAACTTGTTTTACCACGAAAATTAAACACTTATAACACCGCTGTGCTCTATGGTTCATAAGAAATACGGCATTTCACATTGATTTTAAAAATCTCACAGTCAAAACTAACATAAAAATATTAACAATCAAATTTAAAATACAATTGTCTAAATCAAAAGAAGCACAGCTATATTGTTTAACTGATTTTTCCCAACTCCGTCGATTCGAACGGGGTCGTCCACAGGATACTGCAGCTTTCAACTTTAATCTACGATCTCCTTGATTTTTATATTTAAATTAGTTGTTAAATTACATTATTTTAGATTGTTAATTATTTTTTTGTAAACAGCGGTAAATATTATAAATGTCAATCTACATTATAATTATCAATAAGTTTAGATGACATAATTATTAGATTATAACGTAAAACTTTTGTATTAAAAACAATAGGTAATTAAAATAGAAACATTGCCGTAGTATACTCACCTGTGCAAAACAATTGTTTTTTCAAATTTTGGATTTGGTTTTAAATAGTTAGAGTTAACCTACCCATGAAGTGAAAACCGTTCAGTAGTTGTTAAGAAAATCGTATAAAGGTTTGTATACCTAGTATTAAACAGTAGAGTCAATGGCTTTCGTTTTTATTATTTGTTTTACGTTTGGATAGCCAACTTTATTTTTATTCAAAGCGTTTTTAATCCTTTCAGAATACCAGCATGTTGCTAAATTTTATTTAACTCAATATTTCCAATTCAAAAAGTTGTTTTCAAATATCACCTATTTAAATGTTCAAACATAGCAATAATTCACCACATAATTTGCTATAAATAAGTTATTATCAAGATTTGTACTTAACATTAAATCAATTATTTGTTAATTAAATATAGTAATATTAAGTTAATATTTTTTTGTAACTAATATGCGTTTGTATTAAATTTCAATTGAACATATACAATATTTATTAATAATAAATAAATGAAAATGTTTCATACTTACATTATTTTACACTGCTGTATACTTCAATTTTGAGGTAAACCTAGGTTCTAAAGACTAGTCATCCATTTCATAATAGATAGTTTATGTTAAAAAAAATGTAGATGGACAATTATTTCACGAGTATCAATATATGTTGTACATAGATTTTCAAATATTTTAAACATACAATGTATTATAATAGATTAAATTAACCTATATATTATCAATAAGTGTATTTTGAACACTTATGGATAATAGTGCATTATTAGACAGTACACAAAATTTTGTATGATTTTCTGTACACAATAAATAGTTATAAGTTACAAACCTTAACTTACTTATTTTACAACGAAATATATTGTTTCATGACATGTTCCAATGTATTATCTTACAAGTATTATCTTCCATGATCCGATTGTTGAGAAAAAAGTGAAATATGATGTTTTGTTAGTGTAAAAGTACAACCTATTGGTTGTATTTAATATTTAATATCATTTATTAGTTATTTAATATCATTAAATTACACTTATCAGGAATTAGTAAATAAGAAATTTGGTTTCTAGGTTCATCAATAAATGCTTAAATTTTTTTTTAACTAGAATAACACAAATTAATATACAAATTATGCTCTCATTCTAATTATTCCTTCATTCACGAGGCTGGTTTCTATGTATATTTTTTTTTATCATACATTTTATCTATTGTATTTTAATAAACTAACCGATGTATTTTATTGTAATTTTTGAGTATAATTGTATTTCTAAGAACTCTATAAAAAAAAAAAAAAATCATGCAAAATTAATCAATTTACAAACATATTTTTTAATATAATTGAACATTTGTAATTTTTCTTGTCTTAATTACTTATTTTTTAAAGATAAATTTTACTTTAAAATTATTATTTTATCATTATTTATATTGAAAAATAAATTGTTATATTTTTGTTTGAAGATAAACTTTGAAATCAATTCATTACTGGAAACTCAAAATAAATTGAAACTGAAAACCAATTTGTCTTTGATTTTATAAATCTGTCAACTAATTTAATACTTGTGAAAAAAATGTTTCACTTTAAGTATGGTTAATAAAATAAAAATAAAACACTTACTTTTTAACTTTTCATAAAAATTCATTATTTGATTTGTATATTTATTTATATTTTAAAAATAATGCTGTATAATATTAGTAGATTTTGGACATAACTGAGGATTCTTATATTTAACACTTTATAAAATTTAAAAAATTACCTTACAATTTATACAGCAATACAAAATTGTATACATTTTATTATTATAACATGTTTTAGAAATGAACCAAAATAAAATTACTATTAATTATTAAAAATAGAACGATAGAACTATATACAAAAATTATGTAGACACAAATTAATTAAAAGTATAGAAAAATCATATTATTTGTTAATATAAGTGAAGATTAATAATGATTTGCATGAATATTATTTTTAAACCATTAAAATATAGGTATATAATAATTTCGTTCAAATGTTTAGATATAATTTAAGTGAATAAAAAAATAATATTAATTTGAAATGCATTATTTTTATAAAAGAAAATACATTTCTTTTTAGGTGATAAAATAATCTAAGTATAGTCAATCAGTAGCATTTTATTGAAATAAATTAAAACAAGGAGATTTAAATAAACGAAAAAATTAATTAACCAGGATGTAGACATTATTTGAAATAAGATAGTTATAATAAACTAAAATAAGTATTAGATATTATTATAAGTGTTTTCAATACTTTAAATAATAAAAAAAATATTAAGATTATTTATTTACAATTATATCATATCCATTTATTTTGCTTTGATTTCTTTCTTTTTTGAAACTTCTTCCTTTTTCTCTTCCGGTTCTCTTGATTGTTTTTTTTCATCATCACTATTGGCAATCTTATTGTTGATTAAATTGTGTAAGGCTATAATGGTTCTAATCATAGTTGCCAAATATACAGCAAGCATATGATCATTAACTTTTACGTGCATTGCGGCAACCAGGGAATCCTTGTCAACATCAGGTAAAAGATTGAATATTTCTTGTAGTTGATAAATTATTTGGTGATTGACAGGTAATTTTCCATCTACAACTTGTTGTAAATAATCTTTAATATCAACCATTTGTTTAAAAAGACCCCTTGCGCCAAATATTATATTGGCAACTCGTTGACTAAGGGAACCACTAGTCGAGTCTTTAATATCTCTAAGTAAGTGTTCAACACCAACCTCTTCAGCTTCTTCCGCACCGATTTCACTAGCAATGTGTTCCAATGTTTTTGATGGCGGTGATCCATCGTCATGGATTTGCTCCACAACTCGGTAGGCTTCTGTTGGTATTCCAACATCTTTAGGTTTAACATCAACAATTACCATAACAGATGTGTTGTTTACACAGTATTGGCGCACTAGTTCGTTGACAGCTATGTCATTTTGGTGAAGTTTAGGACCGGTATGATACCAACCAACTACTTTCTCGCGGGCATTTACCTTCTTAAACATACCATACATATTTTCAAGATAGTCATGATCAAGGAACCACACCGACTTATCTTTGTCGTCCTCGTCAAAAGGAAGGGCAAAACTATTTGATATATCGAGCACTTTATTTTGTTGCCAAGAGCCCAGTAGTACACCAACTACTCGCTTTTGATTACCGATCTTTCCAAGCCGAGTAAAATGATCGACAACACTTAGCAGTACCAAAGGGTGAACAACCACTTTGGATATAGGTGATTCGTGGGTTGACATCGTTCTGAAACCATAATGAAAAAAAAAATTAATAATAAATAACTTGGTAATTTTACTGAATTTAACTAACTCATCTGGTATATTGTTGATATTATTTATGATAGAGAAACATTCAAAATAATAATGATAATGTTATTCAAGTAATATTGTTATTAAATATTTATTTTAATTAATACTTCATTATGATGGAATGAGTCAATTTAATCATAATGTGTAACGAAATAATCAATTATTAAAAATTGAACTTACTTTTTAAATAATGTACTTCGTTGAATACGTCTTCAAGTCACGAAATTGAATAACAAATATTGTTAGAAAACGTACAAGTTCACGAAACAATATTTATTTTACTATTCGATGATAAAATGACAAGCATAATAAAATAGTTACGGACTAACCTCAAAATACTAACGCGAACGCTATCTGCCGTTTTGGAAAACAAACCATTTGACGTACCTCGGATGCCGATTGGGAGAACAGGTATGCGACAACAAAAATAAAGAACAATCTAATACAATCAGATATACTTAATAATATCCGATGATCTATGAAACAAAAAAAAATACAAACGACTGTTACGAAATGCAAATCAACGAGGATTTAAGTCCCTGTATTGACACACTGGAAGATAACTTATCCGATTATATTTTTATTTATCGAAAAATTAAGCGTATTTTATCGCTTGCAAACCTGACGGATGATAACGAACAACATATTACGTATAGATGGGAATCGTGGCTCACTTTAACGAATCAATTCTTTCGATTCAATTCGCTTTAATGACTCAATTCATTGATTCGACTCCCAATCCTCAACGGATAAGTCGAATAGCCTTAAGCCGGAGCATGCCGGACCATTTAGGCGTGACGTAACGCCGCGACGCGTTGCGACGTTACCGTAACGGTCAGGCGTACACGGTGTTAATCCTTCGTCTGTACACCGGATCTTTTATGGCACAATTGAAATTTCGAAAATGCATTTTTTCGCAATTTTGTCATTTTCACAATGTTGTAAAAAATGTTATTATTAATGAATCGTAAAACAAACTTCAGGGTCTTATAAGATCTTTATGAAGAGTAACCCTCATTTAGTAAATATAAATTTTTTCAGATTTTTCCTAAGTGTTTTTAGTACTAAAAACAAGTCTGTTCATTTATGACCCAGTGGACCCAAAAAATAAGTGACAGGCGAAGGGTTTAGTGCAAAGCGCGTGATTTGCCCATGTACCACGCATACCGCACATGCCATGTCATGCGCGCACGTTACACAATCCCGCGGCATGTTTCTCGGCGCACTTGGGCCCAGTTTTTCGGTGGTCAGTTAAAAAATCGTATTATTATATTATTTATATTTTTTACATTTGAGTAAAAGACTTTTTTCAAGTAGCTATTTAAATAATTTAAAGAATATTTAAAAATATATTTGATTATAATATTCTTTCTACATTCTACTATTTAATATACTTACAAATAGTGGCGTGGTGATGGCCATGGCCTCTTAATTTTTGTTAATAGATAGATGGGTGGTGCATGCGGGATCTGTGATACAAACACAATAATAACTATAAAATGTTCGTGCAACATACATAAACTATAATAATAAATGCTAATTATTCAGGTAGGTACGTACATTAAAATCGGGTGTACGATACTTGATACAATGGCAACAACTCGTTTGCACAAAAAAAGCACAACTCGATTGTGCACATATATTTTGGCTACCTATGACAAAAATCCCTAATTTCAGAATTCCCTTGCTTATTATCGTTAATTATTAAACTCCCCTGATTATGAGAGTTGGTTACATTTATTATTTTGTTTGATTCATTAAAAATAACACTAGCAGGATATTTTTTATTAGTGTATCTAAAATTTGAACATCCACTCATTAAAACACGGTATTCACTAAATTTGTTTCACACTATCAATATTAAAACATCGTTTTCCTCACCGAGATTAAAAAATATTAGAAATTTGTGCGCCATATTAAAGTTTACGTCGTCAACACTGTACCGTTCATATACATAGACCATTCCTACCGAAACTTTACAAAAAAATTTGTTTGGAAAATCCAAATTTATATAGTCTACAGTCTACACAGTCGATTATAAGATAATATTAAGATAATATGATTCTTTGAATGTTTAGACCCCCCACCGTCTAAACGCTGTTCCTGGTGGTGGGTATCTCAAATTTTGTTTGTCTCATAGGTGTAGAAAGTTCATCATGCCACTGCTTTCAAATAAATTTTTTAAAATCTGTATTGTTTTTAAATGGTGTTAAATTGTATGTTTGCATCTGTATATATTATACAAAATAAAAATTTTTTGAACCCTACTATGGTAAAAAATAATACCAGACCATATATACATACTATATATATGTTATACCTATTAAAACTAACTTGATATTGTGATTAAAATAATATTAATATAATATAAAATAATATATATATATAAATATATATAATGTATATATAATATATATATATAATATATATAAATATAAATATGTATAAAATAGTATATATTCACTGCTTAATGCAAGAAATAATTACAAATATAAAATATAGTTAAATCAAAATATTTAAAATTTTTTTTTAATTTTGTATACAGATACTTTGAAAAGGGATTTTAAATACTTACCTTTATACTTAAAACTTATAAAAGTTTAATATACTTATGTACTCTAAAACTTTTACTTAAATACTTAACAAGTTTGAACTTTTTTATTAGAAAAATAAAATTTATAAATAACAATATAAAATGTATACTATACAAAATAATAAATTAATATAAATATATACATAATGAAAGTTTAGACTATGGCAGGTCAAATTAATTATAATTAGAAATTATAATATTGTTTTTTGGTATATTATGATAAAATATAAATATTTATATATATAATTATATAAATACACTAAGTATTATCTATTTACCTATTTACATATTGCTTTTATTTATTTTATTTTTTTAATTAGCTTTTAAAAGAAAGTTATAGCTCAAAAATTAAATCATACTATGATACTAATGCCTAAGATAACTAAATAAACATTAATCATTCTCATAAAATAATATTGGTGAAACTAATAAAATAAAGTTATTTTAATATGGGTTGAAGACTTGTTCAAATTTACAAATAACAGATAACATATTCAGTGATTAAAAACGGAATAATTTAAATTATAAATTTAGAAATGAATTTTGACTAAGGAATAAGTAGTTTGTGTAGAACAGCTGTAAGAAGGGAACTAAAGGGATTTAAGATGTCGAATGATCTGAAATAAATTTCAAAAAAGGTTTATTGTCTACAGAGCTATTAGATAATAGGATATTATTATTATAGAATCATTGTTGGTGGTGTAAGAAGCTTTGGAAAAGTGAGATGGAGATTTTATGAGAGAAGACGTGAGTAAATATTTGTATTTTGGTAATTTGAGTGAGTTTTTTTGCGAAATTTTAGCACTAATTAATATTTTGGACGACATTTGTAGTTGGAAGTATCACCCGTGCAAAGGGTGCACTTGGTGGACTGCTATTTTCTTTGATGCAACTGTTTCAAGTGGTGATCTCATAACGTGATGGGTGATGGCCATAAGGGTGATATCGATTTTGATTTCGTTGTCCTCTTCACTCATCTAGACTACGAAACTAATGGTTTGATTTTCTTCCCGTATGGTAGAATAATTAGATGATGATGGCGGAGACCGTTTGGGTTTGGTAGTAAGCGAAGAGATAATGTTATCTATCTTGAGAGTGAAGACGCAATAGACAAAATACAAGTATAATAAATTGAACTGAACACATAATTAAAACTGTTATATAGTAAGGGCAAATTACGATCGCACAAATAGTTACAACCATGGGGTAAGGTTCATCAGCGCTACTAGTTATTTTATATATCTTCGTTTTAATAGATTTATCCTTTAATGTTATTTCAATTTAAAATATATTTATTTTATTTTTTAAAACATATTTCAAACAAGAATTATGAACATATTTTAGTAGCTCTAAGGAGTAGCTTAAGTAATTCTAAAAGAGTTGATTTAAAACAAATTTATGATCGAGTTAATAGTTTGATATTTAAAACATTAAATTCTGGAAACTTATCAGTTTCATTGAAGTCTTCTGTTTTTTTTTTTTTTTTTTATAGCAAGAGTATATATATATAAGTCTTTCGATTATTTTTACGTATCTTCTGATTTTATATTAAATAATCTATATTAAATTAAAAATTTTAAATCCGATACAACTTTTTCATTCTTCATTCGAACTGTATAGATATATTTAAAAATTAAGCCGTTTTTTTTTTACCTTCTCCATCGAGATTTTAAACTCATTATTTCTGATATCAACAAAACAGAAAATTACCCCTATTGATATAATATAAACTTGTGATACTAACTCTTTTAATATATCTGAGGTTGTAGCTATTGTTTGAATTTTGGTTGCAAGGAAAAAAAAATACTTAATCAATTTATGTTAATATTAAATCCCAAATATTCAAAAGATAAACAATTTTATGTTAAAAATCTCAACGTAAATCCACTCTTTGAAAAACTTCCTACTTCTTTCACTAACTAAAATAAAATGATTAAAATGATAGTATTACAGAAATACTTAAATACCAGTATTGTTTTATTTATAAAAAAGACGATAAAATGAGAAATCACGTAGTATGGGCTTAACCGATTACGGGTCGACTTTGTATTCGAAAATCTATTTCGGTGATAACGCCGATCGTCAGTTACTTTGATGAGTCGGTTGTTCGATACAATTTTGTAACAATACTAAGTAACTCCAAGAAAACTCACAAAAATTAAAACAAACCCTATACTGTAAAATGTATATTATAAAATCTTAGGTTTAACTATAGTGCATGTATTTTAAATAAAATAAGTATTTTTAATTTTTCCGTTTTTGTGCCTCTTTCTTTATTGCGTACCAGTTTCGATAAGCCCAAGCTATAACTCAGCACAGTGATAAGATGTTTTATAAGTAAATTTAAAGATGTTATTATCTTATGAAATTATTATCTTGCCAAACAATAAGCTAAATTAAATACTCACAACCTTATATCAATAGTGCCTGGAAATTTGATAATATAATTGCATGAATAATAATTTATAGTATATAATAGCAGTTAATTATGATAAGTAATTTAATAATCACAAGGGTATAACTAGTTTTGTCTTCGACACAATGCTCAAAATCTTTCTATTTAATAATTATTCACAAACCATGTAATAATTACTACTAGTTTTATATTTTATTAAGTTATGGTAGTTATCTAACAATACTCTAATGTTAATCGATTACATAACATTACTAAAATCTATAAGGATTTAAACTAATAGATTTATATAATATTAAATATTCATTTGTCACCCTCCCCTTCCTTTCCGACACTAGGAAGTCACACAATAATAATTTTAGTATTGGTTTCAATTGTATCATTGTGATATTTTAATTTATGGTTATATAATTATTATATCTGATTACTCAATATTTTGATTATTTAAACATTCGTATGATTCGATTGGTTAAACAAACATTACAAAATAAATGATTTGTTGTGTGGGAAATGTTAAAAATTGACTTTTCCATAATATTTATCAATAGGTACTTACTATTTTATCAGACATATTGGTTTAAAGGCGAAACGAATAGGCAATAATTTTTTGATTATGAATGAAGCTCCATTTGTGTACCTATTCAGGAGTTATGTATAGGCAATCTTTGGGCACTTGTAAAACGACTGTATCGTAATATTATAATATAAGAATCAAGGCAACTGAAATAGGCAAAGTTTATATCGATGTGCAAAATCCATACAAAAAATATAGTGTCGACGTAATATTTAAAGTTAATTAGTTATAATTAGTCATTATTTCTCCCTTACGTCAAAAGTTTCAAATTTAGCGACATCTAAACCTATTAGGTTTTAGAACGTTGTGATGTAAAAGAAAACTCCAAATTTACTTGTTCGGTAAGCATCGAATTTCAAAAAGTAAATAATATGTTTTCTGCAGAACTTGGTCAGGTTAACGAAATCCAGTACCGGATCTACAAATTATGTAACCCGGGGCACAACATAATATTAGCGCCCCTAAAAGTTACCAATAAAAAATACATGTGTCCTAAAGTGTATCAGAATACGGATTATTATAGGCAACTTAAATTTTAAATATTCACTCAATAAATAAAGAAATCATATATATATATATTTAATATTTATATATTATGGAAATGTTTATTTTCAATAAAAAACAAATAATTTAGAACTTAAATCTATATCATAACTTAATGAAGCCTTAGAATCTATAGTAGAGTAAAATAATAATTTTCTTGTTTCTATTTAATAATAATTTTTCTTGATTTTTTTGATGCGAATTCGTTAATGATATCTTCATAATTTATGGATTTAGCAACTTCGTGCTCAATGGATATCATTGACAGGTTATTTAATCTTGTTTGTTTTGTAGTTGATCTTAAATATGATTTAGTTATTTTCAGTTTACTAAAACTGCATTCACAAGATGCCGATGTTACGTGTAATATCAAAAATATTTGATAGGCTGTAAATTTGTTGGGATAAGCATCTTGAAGACCATTTTTAAGAATAAAATTTAAAATTTCATGTGAACGAGCATTTATTAATTTATTATTCAATTGAATAACATGTTGAGTAAAACTATCCAACTTTAAAATTAATTCATTTTTGTCAATGTCTTTTTCATATTTTACACAAAAGTCCATAGCATGTTTTTTTAATTGAATTGTTGGCATACTAGATAAAAACTTTCCATCTAAAAAAGAAAAATCTTTTGCAGCTTCATCAATGGAATCAAATCTTCTTTTAAACCGTTCAAGATTCTATCACAGACGTTTTTCATTAAAATTTTAAATTTATTTTCTTCTGATAATTTTGATGATTCGTCCTCCGCTAATTCACCAGGCGTTTTTTCTTTTTTCTAGCTCGAATCGATGGAAATACCGGTTCTATTGATAGCTCAGATGATTTTTGTTTTGATCAATCAAGTGCTTCTTCATTACCTTCATTCCTAAATTTCTGAATAAAATGTATCAGACCTTTTAAGTGTTGAGTCACTATATCTATTGAAATATTCTGTTTTTGTAAAATTACATTTACTCTATCAATTGCAGTTAATATTTTATTCCATATTATTAACATACATATAAAATTAAAATATGTTATCCCTTTCAACAAACAATTTAATTCAACACTTGCTTCTTCACATAAATTACTATTTTTAAGTAACTTACAGACATGAATAACTTGGGCTAACTGCAAATATAATGATTTAACTGCGCGTTGCTTTGTAGATCATCTGGTCATACTGTAACCTTTCAATGAACATTGAAGATGTTCTTTAAGAATATCCCATCTCTGAGTAGAACTAGAGAAAAAATTGAACAATTTTTGAACAATACCAAAGAATTTTTCTAATTCCGGTGAACATCTTGAACACCTTTCCATTTCCCAGCCATATTATCTCCATTGTCATATGACTGACCGTGACAATAGGATAAATCAATACTATGATTAGACAAGCTTCTCAAAATATCTTCTGTTATTACCTCACCAGATTTTTAAAAACTTGTAAAAGACCTAGAAAACTTTCCACAATTTCACATCCATTTTCATTTACAACAACGTAACGAATAACTTGAGACATTTGCTCTTCATGTGAGATATCTGGCGTGCAGTCGAATAATAATGAATAATATGTAGCGCTTTTAATTTTTGATAAAATTGTATTTCTAACTTTATTTGCAAAATTTTCTAAAAATTAATTTTAAATTTCGTGTGAAAAATAAGTAATACTTCCTTTTTTATGCGTTCAAGATGAATTCTTAGAGGCTCGTTATAATGAGATATTAAATTTACCAAATTTAAAAATGTTCCACTTTGATTAGATTTACCTATATTAGAAACAATTTCGTCAGTTCCACGAAAAACACTGTTCTTCATTGCTAGATTATATCAATTATTGTTTTCAATACTAATCTTCAATGATTTTCTTCTAATTTTATTGCATTTTGTAACTCTATATCAATTCCTTTACCTTCACAAATTGAAATTTCAAGCATTTTCCATGAACAAAAATACTTTTTATGAATATTAGAATTTTCATGTTCTGGTATTCTTTCTGACACTTTCTTCCAATTAATAAACCCATCTAATGCTAATTTTGATATATTTTTGTCGTTTGAATTTAAAAACAATTTGCATGGTACACAAAATAATGCATTTTTTGATTTGGAGTAGCTAAGCCAAGTTCGTCGACATTGATTTCCATTTATAAGATTTTTGAAAAACCAAGAAACATTAACAGAACGCCCTTCTCTTTCAGATCTAGTAAGATTCAATTTTTCAATATAGTTCATTCTCATTCTAACAATATGAGTTCTTTGAGAATCTATTATTTTTTCAGGCCATGTACCACAATCTTTGAAATCCAAAGTTTCATTTTCACTTAATTTCAATGACATAAATTCGGACATATTTAGATTTTGATCTTTTTCATGATCAGAATTTATTTCCTCGACAATTACTCCAGAACTACATTTCTCAGTATCCTCATCCTCTTCAACATCTGTCCCATTCTCTTCATTTTCTATAAAATATTAGATATTTATAATAAATCCAGGTAGGTATAGACCCTTGTAAGAAAATTATAATGCCGCAATTGTAATTAAATATTATCAATACTTGGCAAAAACACCGTAAACATACTTGCTAAGAAATATTTCCGTATGTCTCTTAGTGTATATAATATTAATATCATATACAGCGGTTTTACTTAGCACTTTACTCATAATTTATATTTACGGCATTGTTGTTTAGGAAACATGTCATAATAATGCCGTGTCTAATAATTTAATTTTAAATTACTGATAAATGATAATGTTTAAGATTTCACTGTTGTACACTGTTACTCACCACACACATATTTGGTTCACTTCTCTATAATATTTTAATATTTTAGTGAACAGTACATTTTCGTATGCTAGGTAAAAAAAACTGTAACTGGAATTACGGCGTTTTTGCTTAGTAAAAAATTCTAAATAATTTATAGCGTTCTTTGTATAAGTATCAAAATCAGAATATCTCGATGAAATAAAATTGAACAGTTCCATTGCATTTGTTAGGTATTTTTTTAATAGAAATTATGTATTTTAGTTTGAAAAATATTATATTTATGAAAATAGAACAACCAATAATTACAAAACATTAAAATCAATTTTACTCAAAATGTCATGTAGAAAACTTACGGCATTCTTCCTTAACAGGGCAGTAACCTGTATTATTTCAATATAATATAGCAATATATTATAAAAATTGATTTACAAAGTTTTCCGAAAACTATTATTTTAAAAGTTATACCTGTTTCATACTCGTGGTTAGGTATTAAATTCTAAAATAGTACTTATATTGAGAGTAATAAATTATTATAATATTAAATCACGTCATTAATTATTATAAAACTATATGGTTCTAATAATAATAATATAGAATAATAATTATAAATAGTTTCTAACCTGCGCTACATTGTGTATTATTATTACCCAGCCAATTATGAAAATACGCCGAAGTTCGCTCATTTTCTTTTTTTTTTCGAGAGCTTTTTTCCGGAACTCGCAACCTGATAATTTTTTTTTTTTTAGACTGTTCCATAACAAAAAAATTATACAATAACTTGTAAGGTGCACTTAAATAAATATTTAGTTAAATATGAACATTCCCTTTTCACATAATCATACACATTCATTAAATATCGTTCACTGAACAGTGAAGTGAACGCTAAACACTGTTATAATAAATAAGTACAACTGTTAAATAGCAGAAAATACACACACATGAATACGCAATGCTTTGTTATCGGCTTATCATTGTCCAATTAGCTCGTCTACGACTAACCGATACAAGTATACAACATTGGTTTATATTAATTGCAGAGTGGCCCGGTTGTGTTTTTGGCTATTTTTAGCAAAATGATAAAATCAATAATATAATATGATATGAAATGACAAATATCTTATCTTAATCTTTACCAGTGTGACTATTATGAATTAAAACTATTTAATTTGAAATACTTATGTAATTCAATACAAAAGATTCAATTTGTTTTTAAAAAAATTAAAATGTAATAAAAATGATGAGTTAAAAATTTGAAATTTGTGCCTCTCTAAAATTAGCGCCCGGGGCATGGGCCCCGGATCGCCCCCCCCCCCTAGATCCGGAAGTGACGAAATCAAATGTATTTCTTAAATTGGATTAGGATCTTATACGATAAAAATATTAGTTTACTGTACTATTATTATTATCATTATCATTGTTATGTTAGTACAGTCGTTTTCGTAATCACATAAAAATATCAGTTCCCATACAGGTATGGAATGTAGACGACGAGGCGTTGCGAAATAAGTTTTCATGGACAAATATCGATGTAAGAATTGACGGTCCATGGATATTATAGACTTGACTGTATACGGAGGAATAAATCGATTTATTCGATGGGGATTTTGAATTCGCACGTTATTCGTGTGCGAGTGTCAGGGGTGGATTTAACAATTTTCCGCTCCAATGCAAAATTCAATTTGTCGCTTTTATCCAGAAAAAAATAACTTCTATATAAAAAAATATAAATTTACGTGTAAACAACACTGTCGTCACTTTAAGTAATTTACGCGTACGTATAGTTATCGGTGGACGGACAACTATCGAGTAATTCAATAAAATTATAAAGGGATAAATAGTAGAATTTACCTGTCAAATAATCGTTGTAATATTATTAACAATAATAATACGGTGACGCACTAACGAGTCACTTTTTGTTCAACTAATGAGTTATTAAATTGAAGGTACCTTCAATACGCGGTGAACCTGTACCGATAACGTCATATCTAACAGTTTCTAATGAAGCGAAAATTTCCTATACATAGTGCGGCAAAACCGGGTATTTTGCGTATGTCAAACACACGGAACCATGGTAGGTTAGGTATGTTAGGTCATTATGATAATATTTGAAAAATATGTAGAAAGCAAGAAAATAAAACCATTTTGTAACAAAAATTGTTAATGGAAATTGAACAATAATTGATCGATTTAGTTTTGAACACATCATTCTTTCACATCTTCTTTCACATCAACAATTCTTTTACAGCCTATATATTCGAAATTCAAAATAGTTTGGTTACAATTGATTAAAGGTACGATTTCCCTACAGAGTCCATACGCGATGAGGGGGCATTAATTTTAATAACATACGGGCCCAGGTGAAGTTGTGGCATTGCCTAGACTCCAATATGTATTACATATAAATATATAAAAATTTAATATCTATATTCTATAAACAATAAAATGAGCTATAATAAAGTACAATCGTTGTCATCGTAGTCCTTATTATCAGCGAGTTCCTGGGAAAAAATGAGTATTAATTTGCTAAAAATAAATTAATTCAAAATCCTCATACGTCGTTCAACATTTGTAATGGTAAAATAAATTTTAAAAAATATGCAATTCTATTATTTAATAACTATTAATATATAAGTACTATTTAATAATATTATTTCTAACTTTAGCTTATTAATTAATAATTATTATAAAGTACTATTTTATAACATAAACAATATTGTTACTGTCATTGCATACCTACTTATAAATATTTGAATTTCGTCCAAAATATAAGGATTACAACATTTTAAATTGACTGCGTATGGTGTACACAAACAGTTTTGAATGTACTAAGAACGTATATTATATGTAGGAATATTTTTTTCTGCATGTTTTTTAATATTATTTAAACGTTGAAGAATCAGGATGAAACAATTTGAACTCTTATGCGTTTTTTAAAACGTGTTTTTTAATGGTGCTCACTAATAAATATATAATGACATTTCATTTAGTAAATTACAGGAAATATTAAAATATCAAATGAAAATTAATTAATGCCTAAATCTTTTTAGTTATATGTCTCGAATATTTCGATTTTGATAGGAATCCTATAATTAGATAACATTATTTTTAATTTGAAAAAGTTTAAATTTCAAATAATTCTTTCAAAATAAATGATCGAACCTGTGCAATTATTTTAATGAAAAATGTATACAAAATTATATTTTATAAACAGTAAAATAACGCATTATGCTTAAACATTTGATTTTATTCCACAGAAAATTGAATATTTTAACAATTAATATATAACCAAACGATCTTGGAGTAAATTAGCCTATTTTTTATTAAATTCTTAATTTTATAAACATAAATTATTATTCAAATTATTATTCTATCAGTAAAAATAGTGGTATTAAATATTAAGATTTTATTCACAGTTTCGGATAAATAATGTAAAGTAGTTAAATATAAAAAAAAAATGTTCCTATTTCCTATAAATTATTTAAGAACTAAATATTTTCTCAAATAGTTATAACATTTGTTTTAAAAAACATTGTTTCCAATTAGGATTATATTTTTCTAGACATTAAAACCTTCATTTGTAAAGCCATATATAGATACCATACCGTAGGTACTCCAGACAGTTATTTTCTCTTTAACGATAATTTGACGGTTTGTCCCAAAATCTAATTAACATAAACAAAAAACCAAATAATAGAATTTAATATAGTTGCGATAATAGCTTTTCGTTTTTTCAACTATGCATAAAAAGTTCGTTAGTTTATGTTTAATGAAATCTTTTGAACAAAAGAAGAAGGGAAATCATGTAGACCATATATAATTATGCATTCATATTAATTTTAAGTTTATTTCTTTATTTTATTTCATTGCGGTGTGTAGTTGTTTAATATTTGAAGTTTGTATTTAGTGATTTCACTATTCTTTTTTTTATTAATAATATAACATTTATAATCTGTACATTTTTTTTGCACAGTAAGCAAATTTGCGGAAACGATATAACATAAAACAAAACAAACATAGACAGGCGAGAAGAGAAGCTATCTAGTGATAGAACCCTATCATTTCACTATTTTATAATAATTTTTAACGCTAAAATTGGATTTGAGTAGAATTTACCAACAACTTATTTCCATTCACGTTGTTTTGTATATGAAATACAGTAATTCAGGGAACTTTATTTTATTTTTTTTTTATTTCATTTTCTACATAGTGTAATAAAAATTATACAATTAATGCATACCAAATTACGTATGGTGTATATTTTAAATTTATAGAGCGTAGTAAAATATGTTTTCCAACGTAGGGAAAGTGGCGCGCCCATCGCCCAGTGCACATTGTGCACTGCAGTAGCCCCACACTGATTTTAACTAGTTGGTGTGGCACGGCCCTCCTGGTAGGGGATTTAGCGTAGGACTAACACCCTACCTAGTAAAAAATAACTTATTCAGGAACAAAAAAATTTGCCTCGGGACAGGGTTTTTGGGAAATCGAATGGAAAACGGAAAAAGGACTTCTTTTTTGGAACTTGGAACGTACGTACACTATATAAATCTGGAGCAGTTCACAACATAGTGAATGAAGTTGAAAAATATAAAGTTAAATTAATAGCATTGCAAGAAATTAGATGGACCAATACATGGACGATAAATATTAACGAAACAACTATCTTCTACGGTGGCTGTACTGAGCAACGTCAATTAAGAACGGGTTTTGCGGTACACAAAGATTTAGTCCCTGTAGTTAAAGAATTCAAAGACATTAATCCTAGAATGAGTGTCTTAAAAATAGAAACACAATGGTATGATATAAGCTTCG